TGAGGTCTGATGACCTTTACTGGCTCCACCGATTTTACTGGCCTATGCGTGTCTGTCTCCCTGTTTCGTCCTACCCTTGACTCTGAATGTACGTAAAAAGTTATTGGAATATGTGATTCGGTTCATTTTAGTTTATCTTATTATGGTACGTCCGCCCACCCTCACGTTAAAACTACAATCTTTCGATGAAAACTGAATATCTGATGTATGGTGCATGTGTTTAGAAAGCGGGTGCAACAACACTGGTGATACAAAGTCCAAATACGATAGACGAATATTCTTCTTCCATGTACTTACGTTGTCAAGTGGCCACAAAACACAGAATAATGACTTTGAGACAACAGTGGTAGCAGCCTCCCAGTGCTCCATTCTGGTTGGATTATTTTATCCACGAAAGCAAGTGTAGCCATCCTCTGCATTCGACCGAACTGCTGCAGATATCCTTATGCCCTGTGCCCAATAATGTCCTCACACGAGTGAAAAGGCAGTGGTAGGATTTGTAAATTTGCTGACTGTCAATTTGATGCACTTCCAAGGGAGCTGACCCAACTCCGATTTCGAAACAACAATGGCAAGTGTGTGCATCGGTCGCGACGGAATCAGGAGATGAGACTACCTTTGGAATCCAACTGCCAAGTCTGAACTGTTCTACCATTCCCAAGAAGTCTGTACAGCACATATTTATGCAAAGTTTTGGAGTGTACCCTCAGACAAATGTCGAGTGACACTAGACATTTCGCCTGTGTCACACCCTTGTAGACACCATAACCACATATCACGGTAGCTAAGCTGCTCGTGTTATGGCCTCCCCGGGAGTTGACGCATATTTAGCTTTTGAAGCAACAGGCTATGTGCATTTGAAAAAAAGCTCTTTCCACTGGCGGGTCCGAAAGCTTTTCAACTTTTGCCATGCGGATGCCCCCCTGTTACGGCGTGGACAGCCTGTCTCTCAGGCGCTTCAATACCGCGCTCCGATTCAACATTCGTCGTGTCCTCTGACAACAACTCACAGTGGTGTCACTAAAGTGGAGCAGAGGATGCCTCTGGCCAGCAACACGGTAAATTTGCCTCGGGTCCAAACGCCAAATCACATCTATCCTCGAGAGTCGTAGTAGAATGTTCATACGGGAACCAGTCAGCGCCTCAGGTTTTCGCATCAAACATGAATTCTACCAACTTCTACAGCCTAACACTGGAACGTCAAGTCTTGAGCGTAGCTGAAGACTGGCAAGTCTTCACTGGTCCATCTGAAGAACCCACCCACCAACTCTTCTATGAATTTTGTCTAAAAAACTTGGCGTGTCTCTATTGGACATGAAACTGCAATGTGCGCTTCCATCCCACCAGAAGATATATGCTTGCGGGTGGTCAATGGGCGGACAACAAGCAAAAACTACTACGTTCCCGTCTGACCGCGACATAGAAAACTACAAATCATACCGAAGCAGTGAAGCCGAAAATAACGGTAGTTCAGACTACGTACCAGTACAATCTAAGTTGAGGCAGTACCTGAAGACTGTAATCTAAGTGTTTGGATATCCTGTCACTGGGAGTTACTGACCAAGGCAAGCGATAAGCGCCATGCGTCCATTCACTAAGGTCTCAGATTGCAGGA